AGTTTTCAGGTTACAGCAGCTACTCTTTTTGCTCAATACTTAGAAACAGGCACATCAGTAAACAGGAGAAAAAAGACCAACCCACTCCTGTAAACCCCCTTCTTATTAAAATCAGTGAACAGTTATACATTCTCCATTATGTTAAGTGTTCTTGGCATTCCAACCACCTTTTTAGACTTATGGTATTCTTTTCTCAACTCTTCTTTTTTTTTTGAGACAGGGTCTCAGTCTGTCAACCAGGCTGAAGTGCAGTGGTGCAATCTTGGCTCACTGCAGCTTCAACCTCCTGGGCTCAGGAGATCCTCCCACTTCAGCCTCTTAAGCAGCTGGGACTACAGGTATGCTCCACAATGCCCAACTAAATTTTGCATCTTTTTTGTAGAGGTGATGTCTCGCTATGTTGCCTTGGCTACTCTCGAACTCCTGGGCTCAAGAAATTCTCTCACCTCGGCCTTCAAAAAACTGGGATTAAAGGCACTCTACTCTTCTCTTTTAAATATTATAACGAACTCATGGCCTTTCACTGACTCAATCTGGCCCAGCTAAACATGATTATAATAATCCTTATTAATAATGGTTAATACTAAATGTAAGTGGTTAGGACCTATTAGTAGGTACTCTTTGAGCCCTGCTCTGAACATCTTTGGAAGGCACCCTTGTTTTCTGGAGTAGCAGATATCACAGGCCTGTGGAATTCAGCTCCCCTCCAAAAGTTTTGGTTCCTTTGAGTGAAGAATCATTCTGTGTGAGTGACAAGATGCTGCTAGAAAATGCAAGTATTCAGAGTCAGCATTCACTCAGATATGTCATCTCTGCTTAGAGAACCTAGTTTCACCTCTCAAACTGACACTTGTTACATCAAGAGTCAGTCTTCTTTCTTTCCTTTTTTTTTGAGTTGATGTTTTACTCTTTTGCCCTGGTTGGAGTGTGCTGACACAGTCACCATGGCCTCTACCTCCTGGGCTCAAGCGATCCTTCCACTTCAGCCTTCTAAGTAGCTTGAACCACAGTTGTACACCACAACGCCCAGCCAGTTTTTTAAAAGTTTATAGTAGTGTTGAGGTCGTGCCATGCTGTCCAGGCTGATCTCGAACCCATGGGCTCAGGCAGTCCTCTTGCCTCAGCCTCCAAAAGTGTTGGGATTACAGGCATGAGCCACTGCACCTGGTCTTAAATAATATTCTTATGCTGGGAGATGAAATAGTGTGAGATTGCATGTTTTGGAAGTAGGATTCCTGAGTTTGAATTCTGTCTTTCACTAGTTTGGGGCTGCAAGTAAATTACTTCATTTCTCTGAGCCTCAGTTTCCTCATCTGAAATATGGGTGTGATAACAGTATCTTTCTAAGAGGGTTGTAGTAAGAACTAAAAATGAGTTAATTTCTACAAGGTACTTAGAATGGTGCCCGATGCAAAACAGATGGTCAAGAAATGTTTGCTATTGCATCTGTATTTTTGGCTTTGAAATTTAGACATTACTTTTAATTTATCTCCTAGTAGGATAGATTTTATTATTGTTATTTATTATTACTCATTAACTTATTTTTATACTTCCTCTAACTCCTCTCCCCACCTTCTCCTAATATATCACTAGTTTTATATCCTTTATTAGGAACTTGTAGCAGTGCATAATTCACTTACAACATTGTTTCTTATGCCCTTCACTGTAGCCTGTATGTCTTGCTTCCCCACTTTATAAAGTGAGATATTAATCCTCCTTCTCCTTGTTTTAATGCTTCACTTTCCAACTCCCACCAATGTACTTTAATTCTTTTGCTTATGGGTAACAAGTATATTTAGCTCTAATATTTATATGTTTTGTTTTGTTTTAAAAGTTAAAAATCAAATCAGAGTGTCTACAGTTTTGAGGTGTTTTAATATTGTTTACTGTAGAGCCAGGTTGTACAATATGGTTGCACATGCTTTCCTGCACAGCATTATTTTTCCTGATATTTCGAATTGCCTTTGTGTCCCCCCTTGCACTGTTGGCCTTCACCATTTTCTCAATTTCTTTCAAATTGTGAATTGTATGGAGCTAGCATGCCAAGTCCCCTTTCCTCACAGAACTCTTCACTTCTATTTCACTCTGGTCTGGTTGCTCTCTGCATGCCCAGCTGTAATCTTTGGATTCCCTTCTGTTGGGGTTGATTTTCCTGTTTCCTGGATCCCATGTCTTTTCATCTCTTGGTTATCCAAACCTACTTTCCATGGGTGCACTCACACACACACACACACACACACACACACACACACACACACACACACACACCACATCCTAGTGTTTTACCCCTTTACTTCATTCTCAAGTAACTTTCTAAGGAATGATTGTTATGGCAACTTTTCTATTCCCCATTTGGCTTCATTTCTTCTGTTGTCTCTTTCCTTTATTTTCTGTAAGCTTTCTTTGATTTTCTTTTCCAGTCTATCTCAAGAGTTGTACAGTCTTGGCCTCTTGGGCTTAGGCAATCCTTCTACCTCATCCTTCCAAATAACTGGAACTACAAACACCTGCCACCATGCCCAGCTAGTAATTTCTCAATCATCTTTTATTTCTCAAAATCTTTTTTCTCCAGTATGTTTTCCATTTTCCCCCTTTTCAGTGCATTTTGTTCTCATTTTATGAATTAAAATATCTTTGAATCTCCCTGAGGATGTGTTTAGGTTTATAAACATCACTTTCTACTTTCACAATTGTTCATTTCTTCTAGACCCATTCTATACTTGTGTATTTCGGTCCCTTTCTCATGTTTACATCTCTCTCATATATCTATCCTAGTTCCATTCATATTAAAGAGGGGATGCAGATCACTGGCAGGCTTCCCTGTGGGGTAATTGAATGGGAACCCACTAAGTGCCAGAATACAAAGATTTTTTTTCTGGGGCCTTTGGATTCAGTCATGAACTCTCTGATTTTCTCCATCTGGGTAGATTCAAGGCTGTCCCACTGTTTGGGTTTGGGCTTGGTGAACCTATCCACTTTCTGTCTGAGACCATTTTCTTGACTTTCTGTCCTCTCAGTGTTTCTGTAGTTGACAACTCATTCCCCCTTCTTTATTCCATCATCACCTCCTTTTCCAGTGCTGCCTTCCAAATATTTGCCAAAAAGTCTCTTGTCTCCTGTTGGTCTCATTTCCTCTTTCAACAGCAGCAGGGGGCAGAGTGGAGTATGGTCTCTTGAGTCCAGCTGGCTGAATTGGAACCGGTCTTTCCCTCTTTCTAGATTTCTCACCTTGGGTAAGTCACTTAATATCTGTTTAGTTATCTTCTCTGTAAACAATACAAATGGTACACACCTTGAAGTTTACTGGAAAAAGACTGTGAGTTATTGATAAAGTCGTAGAGCAAGTACTGGTGCAGAGTCAAGTCCACAAATGTTAGCCATTGTCATCATTTAACTATCTCTATACCTGCAAGTTCCTTGACTATAAATATTATCGAGTCTAGGAGGGGGAGTCAGTAAATGCTGTTTGCCTTCTTAAAATAATGCCCTTTCCAGGGTAGGAAATCACAAACAGAATTTAAAGAACTTTTCTCCATATAAAGGTCTGGTTTTCTTATTAGAAAAAAAAGCCTACTGAGAACTGATAAGACCAAAAGAATGACCACCCTCATACACTGCTAGTATGGGTGCAAATTAGTACAATTTATTTGCATAATAGTGTGGCTCTAGATAGGAAAAAATTGTTAGATGTTGTTACCCATTGACTTAGTCATTCTACTTCTAGAAATTTCTTAAAGAATTCTCAAATGTGGGCAAAGTTTCACTCAAGGAGAATGTTTTTTGTACTACTATTTACATAAATAATTAGTTACAGACTGGGTGCGAGGGCTCACACCTCTAATCCCAGCACTTTGAAAGACTGAGGCAGGAAGATTTCTTGAGCCCAGGAGTTTATGACCAGCCAGGGCAGCATAGTAAGACCTGGTCTCTAAATAAAAATAAAAATAAAAATAAATTAGCCGGGCATAGTAGTGGTGCACTCCTGTAGTATCTGCTCCTATGGCATTCCAGCCTGGATGACAGAGTGAGACCCTGACTGGGAAAGAAAAACGAATTAGAAACAACTTATGGTACAACAGCCAGGGGAGGACCGCAGTGGGGAATCGGTAGCACTGGAAGGGATGGGCAGTCTATGGCACGGATAGGGCCAATGTCTGGTACGATTCAGGGATCCAGGGATGAAGGATCTTGCAGAAGCAAGGAAAACACAGGCTTTTCAGCACAGCACCAGTACATACAACAAGACAGAGGCTTGGACACAGGGTGCCAACATCATTTTGCAATGAGTGGAGTCATCTGAAAGAAACACATACACATGAATACATATTTGGGCACATTGAACGAAGTATGGCATAGTCTTTGATGAAGCAGGTTGGCACCTCCAAACCTGAGTTAACCTGCAGTGGATTCTGAATCAGAAAGACCTGGGTGAAGTCTTGGCCCTAGCGCTCTTGTGAAAACGTGGGTGTTACCTAACTTTTGGGATTTCCTGTGCTTTAAAATGGGAGCCCCGATTGTACCCATCTTATGCAGTGTGTGTGAATATTTAATGAGGTTTTCGTAAGGAGTCCTGCACATCATAGACATTCAATAAGTGTTACATTCCTTCCCACCTTTTCTTCTGTGTGTAGACCCTGTCATTTCTGTAATTATCAGATGTCCTCTTCTGATTATCTTCTCCTTATATCCCAGAAGGACAAGAGGACGCTGCCTTGGCGTGAGACTGAGTCAGAGGGAACTGGAGGGAGGTGACTGTCTTTAAATAGCAGCTGGCAGAGTCCAGGAGACAGAGGAACACTTTGGTTAAACCTATTTTGTGTCTGCTGCCACCCCAGTGGGACCTGTGGAGATTGGCCCTTCGGCCCTCCAACTAGCGACAGCCAGTTCACGGCCTGGCCTGCAATTTGTGTTTTCCTTCCCAAGGGTGAAGCAAGCCTTCCAGCCTGGACAGACACCAGAAAGCTGTGAGGGAAACCCTCAGAGATTCCGCTGCTGGCGCCATGAGTCCAGATGACAGTGGGACCCACTCAGGTAGTCACGCTTGCTCCTCTCTGGCTGGTTCCTATCATCACCTAGCATCAGATGGCATGTCCAAAACAGAGTTACCATGCAGAGGATCAAGAACTGAGAGGGAGGTTGATGAGGGGCCCTCACCCCAACTGAGACCAAAGGAGTTTCCCTGGCCCAGGGGTCTGTGAGGGCCTCTCCGTCCTGCCCTTGCTCTGGGGTAACATGGCCTGGGTGCTCACTTCCTCCTATCCCTGTCGCCTAGGAAATGACTCAGGTCGTGCAGGTCAGCCATAGGGAAGAGGAGGATGACAGTGGGGGAGGAGAAAAGGAGGTGACAGCTGGGCAGGATGGGGAGAGGAGGTGAACCAGCAGCCCTGATCTCTGACCTCCCCAGCAGAAGGTGGTCCTCCAACCCTTGCCCTGACTTCCCAAATGCTCTGAGTGGCTCAGTGGGAAGAGTGACTCAGAATCCCTCTGAACTCCCCCTGTCTGGCCCTTGCTATGTCCCATCTGAGCTCCTCACCTCACCTGTAGCATGAGAATCTTAATTTCCCGTGCTGTTATAATGACCAAATACAACAGGTGTTCATGTCCCGGCCAGTGCCTGTCACACGGTAGGTCTCACTCAGTGTCTTTCTCATCCTCTCTACCTGACACCTGTTCATTCCAGAGGGAGACTCCTCACCCCCCACCGTATTAGGGTACCTGCCTTGCACTGCCCATCACAAGCACCTGCCACCAGGTAGGACTGCCTCAGACAGGGCCTGAGCTAATGCTTTCGAATACCCCTTGTAAAAGAAAATTTGAGGCATGATAATGTCTTAATGAGTTTATTTGAGTAAGAAGCGATTGATGAATTGGGAAACTCCAAACTCTGACAGGCGTCCGAGGAAGGTATCCAGAGGATGAACAGGGAAGTAGGATTATGAAGGCATCTGATTGCTTGCAGTTATAATGTTTCCCTTTTGGTTTACCTTGCTAGATGATTTTTAGTCATGTAACCATATGCTAGGTGGTTGCTCATGATTGATTGAAGTTAAATTTTATTTCTAGCTAGGCATGGTGGCTTACACCAGTAATCCCAGCACTTTGGCAGGCCAAGGTGGGAGGACTGCTTGTGTCCAGGAGTTTGAGACCAACCTAGGCAACATAGCAAGACCCTGTCTCTGCAAAAAATTAGCCAGGTGTGGTGGCAGGTACCTGTAGTCCCAGCTACGGAAGGTCGAGACAGAGGGATCACCTGAGCCCAGGAGGTTAAGGCTGTGGTGAGCTGTTATTGTGCCATGGCACTCTAGCCTGGGAAACAGAGTGAGACCCTCCAACTCAAATATATATATATAAACATATGTGTGTGTGTATTTATATATAACATATACATATACGCACCATATATATATATATCGCATATACCATATATACACATATAACATATATATACATATACACACAGACACAAGGGAATGCTAAAAATATGTATACATATTTTAAATATGACATTCACTCAAAAGATGACGTTAATTAAATGAATGCTAGCATCACTATGGGACAGGCAGGACAGCAAAGAAAGTGGTGGAAGCACAGTTGAATGAACATCCCACTACGTATTGCTACTGTAATTTAATTCGCTTTTGAAAAGTAATGCATATATAACGTCTCTTAAAATGTGTATACATTTTTGGCATTGCCTGTATATATATACTTCTTTACAAAATAAAAAAAGGTTTTTGTTTCTAGCATAAACATTCACCAGAAATAACTCAAGTTAGAGTCGCATGTGTTTACAGTTTAAGTAAGGTTAAGGCTATTCTTAAGGCATGGCTAGTTTTGTTTGCCCAGGAAATTCTCAGGCCAGGTCTCCAATTTAGTTCAGATTTAACACTTGCATTCCCTACCCATCAACCATCAATAAATACGCACATTCAGAGTTATGGGTTCCCTCCATCTGAACCTGGGTTCCTTTCTCTTTTTTAATGAAGAAGGAAACAGTAAAAACAAAACAATTCTCCACCACCTAAATTGAAATGCGCTCCTTTTCTGTTTTACAGTTGTGTTTTTCCAGGACTACTTTCTTCCCCCCCTCACTGAGTTGCCTTGGCAACCAAGTCATATCTCAGGAGCCACTCTGGAGAGTGACTTGTGCTGTGCTTGGTCCTGCTGAAGAAGAAGGAGAGGAAAGATGAGAAACTGGGGTTCCCATCAGGCCCTGGATTTCTTAGGGAGAACTGGGCTGGTGGGTCCCTCAGGATAAGCTCTTCTTGGAAATAAGAGGTTGCCTGTTCCGTAAAGGGGCAGATTGGGCTCCGAGGGGCCAGTGGGGAACCGCGTCCCCTGAGACTAGCCTGGAGAGGGGGGAGGCAACATGGGGGGATCACAAGGATTAACCCTGAGGGTCCAGCCCCCAACCCACTTGCAGCATCCCCCTCCACTGCCAGTCTGAGAGCTTCTATGATTAACAGGAGAAATCTCTTTCCATGGTAGTTGTACTCGGTGGTTTGCAGTTTGAAACATAATTAGTAAGTAACTTTACACATACTGGTGTCCTACAGGGGAAGATGCAGAAATAACAGGACATTTGTTATTTTTTCAGAGACAGGATCTCTGTTGTCCTGCCTGGAGCACAGTGATATGATCATGGCTTTCCACAGTCTCAAACTGCTAGGTTCAAGCAATCCTCCTATCTCAGTCTCCCTGGTAGCTGGAGGTACAGGAGTGAGCTATGACACTCGGCCCCCATTTAATCTTTATCACTTCCTTATAGGCCCTGTCTCCAAATACAGTCACTGGGGTCTAGGGCTTCAACATACACATCCATGTATAGCACCGTGGCTCCATTAAAAGCACCCACATGGCAGCTGACTGGTGGCTTAACAAGCAACGCCCCGAGGCTTGAGGCCGTTCATTCCTTAGCACACTTTCCTCCAAGTTTGTTCTTTTTCCTGTCCTTCTAGAGACTGAAAACTTTATTGAGGACATTGTTGAGTGTTTCCGGGACATAGTGAGCAGAGAGCAACTGCATCACCTGCTGACCGACAATGAAGCCTGGCGGGGATTCGTGGCTAAGGCTGATCTGTCCAGGTAACTTCTGTGGGGTGGCCTTTACAGGATGCCCAGCAGTGCTGTCCAGATTTCCTGCTGAGCTACTTCTCTCCTGGTAGGCACACCTCCTCCAGGCAGCTTCCATGGCTGGATTGAGGAGATCCCTTTTCAACAGTTCGTGAGGAATGTTTCCTCCATGTCATTCACCAGCAGTGACAGGCTCTGACTGGGGGAGATGAAACCTTCAGGGTAAGGTTCATGTCTGCAGCTGCTGGCCCTGTGCCTCTGCAAGTTCCAGTACTGCCTTCTACTTTTGCCAATTCATCCACTGACTTTTATTTGGAGAAAAATAAAAGAATGCATGTAAAGTGCTTAGCATAATGACTGGTGCATAGTAGTTGTTCATTGAGCATTAATGTTCAAAATGCTTAGTGGGAAGAGACTAGGGCTAAAGGACTCTTTCTTGGAGGTGGGAGCCAAGCAGGACTTCCTCGGGACAAGCAGAAAAACTTGCACTGATCATTTGTGATCCTGGGTCCTCTGTTGGCCCTGGAGGCAGAGAGGTAGGAGTAAAGTTGAACAGAACTGGGTGAATACTGACTCTGTCTCTGTGCAGCTTCATGGCTCTAGGCTTATGTCTTGGAAACTCAGATTTGTTATCACCCAATTAAATAGCAGTTTAATCTGATAGGGTTGTGGTGAAGGCCTCAGGGTGAACCCCAGGCCAAAAAATGGGGAACCAAGTACCACGATCCCACCCAAAAACCCAGGGAGACCTGAAGCAGAGCCAGAGCCAGGGGTTAGGATGGAGCAGGAGTGGGCCTGGGTTGGAGGAGCTTTAGGAAGGCTGGGCAGCAAGGCCAAGGCTAGGGAAGCCCCTGGAGCATGAAACCTAAGGAAGTCTTGGGCTTGCAGAGGCCACGTGAGTGGGGGAGGAACATTTCTTCCCTCCCTGGTTTGCTTGCAACACTGATGGGTGTGGAGGGACCTGGGTGATTGATTCCACTTCACTCTGCCTGGGAGCTGGGAGCTGGGGTGTTCTCAGCTGCCAATGGGACTCTCTTCTATGGTGAGCAGCCCTCCACCCACAGGAAGGCAGTGTGGCTTAGTGATGACTTCCAAAGTCTCAACTGGAGGCTGCAAATTTGTGTAACTTGAGAGGTTCAGAGGAGACTCATACTGTCCCTAGCATCTTGTTCAAAATCTTTTCCGGCTTAGTGATTCATATAGATAGTTCTTTTTTGTAATTCTTAAATTATTTTAGTGATGAGTTATTACTCTGTTACCCAGGCTGGAGTTTGGTGTGTGATCACGGCTCACTGCAGCTTCTTATTCCTCGGCTTAAGTGCTTCCCGCCAGAAATTCTCAAGTAGCTGTGGCTACAAGTGTGCACCAGCCCACATGACTAAGTTTTTTTTTTACTTTTTGTAGAGTCAAGGTCTCGCTTTGTTACCCAGGTTGGTCTTGAACTGGCCTCAAGCAATCCTCATACTTCAGCCTCCTAAAGTGTTGGGTTTGCAGGCATGAGTCACAGCACTGAGCCATGATGTTTCTTAAAGTTAGGCTTTTCTGAACCTCTTTTCTCTTCTCTCTAGACTTGGCCTTGGCCTTCTATGACCTTCCATCTTGTGCTTGCTGGGCTACATCACCCATTTTAGCAAGAATCCCACAAAGTCAGTTTAGTGAGAATCCTCCCCCGCACCTTTGCTCCTAGTTGAGTCTTTAAGAAGTACCATAAATTGCATAAGACTTTGATGCATATGTGAAGATGTCACCTGCTAAGGTGTTGGCTTACCTGGTGACATCAGAGGACAGACTCTGAAGTCTGTGGATGCCAGGGCAGGAGTTGATAAGATGGGCTGAGAGTTCGTGTAGAGGCAGGATTCATAGCCAGGTCTCCCACTTCCCAGTCAACTGAGGCAGTGACTGAACCCCATGACTTTCAGCCAGAAGGTCAGAGGGCATCAGGCATTGGAAGAGAGAAGAGCCAGGCAAAGTGGTCCCTTCTAGCTCTGAGGTTTTTGCTTTAATTCTTCATACTCCGAGTTAGCCAAACTGCAAAGTCTGAAGGCATCCTTACCTTTGACACCAACTGCAAATTTGATGGGGTTTCTAAAACCACCCTCAGGTTTGATAATTCACTAGAAGGACCCACATAACTCATTGGAATTGTTATTGTACAGTTACAGTTTATCCCAGGGAAAGAACACAGATTACAATCAGTCAAAGGAAGAGACATATAGGACAGACTCTGGGTGAGTTTCAAGTGAAAAGCTTCCATTGTCCTCTGTATTCAGTTCTGTGCTGTATTCAATGTGTGACAAAAATACATGGCGTATTACTCAGCATAGAAGCTCACGCCAACAAGGAAAAAATTATTCTGGTGCATGTTAAATATTAAGGAGGACTTTATTGAGGACTACTGTAATAGGGGAGAGAGACTGAGACCAATTCCAAATAAGCAAAGGCAGATGAGAACGATAGCCAACAACCAGAGGGGTTCGATAGATGGAAAACTGCATTAGATAGCAAGGAGGGATGGGGTGGGGGGATTCTCACTCAACCAACTTTGTGGGATTCTTGCGAAAATGGATGATGTGAGCCAACCAGCACAAGATCGAAGGTCATGGAAGGCCAAGGCCAATGCATAGAGAGATGAGAAAAGAGGTTCAGAAAAGTCTAACTAAAGTTTGGTCAAGGGGAAAGTCTTTTTCATTCCATAATCTTTGTCCAGAGTTTCTACTGGGGCTTAATCCCTGCTGTTCTCATGGCTGAACTAGAGTCACCAGTCCCTCCTGGAGATCTAATGCCTTTTGTACTCAGTTCATCTGTGGGTCAGAGATGACACCACGTAACCTAAGACACCATCATATAATCGTATTGCTATACAGTAATTCCCCTACATACCAACGAGTTCCATTCCAAGAGCAGGTTAAGTCCAATTTGTTCAATAAAGTTAGCCTAGGTACCCAACAAGCATGATTGGTTATCTAGTACTATAATATAATAGATTTATAATACTTTTCACAGAAATAATGCATAAAAATAAAGCAAACACAAAAAACAAAGAACACATTTTTAATCTACAGTATAGTATCTTGAGAAGTTCACCAGGCATATAAACTAACTTACGTGATTGGACAAGTGAACACACATTTGCTTCTTTGAAAACTGGAACTTTATTTTTAGAATGTAAGGGACACACTGTACAAGGTTCAACAATTAGGTTCTCAAACCATCCTAGAAAAACTGCTACATTCTTCATTCCTGAATATCACTACAGTCGTCTGCAAAGTACTCCCCTTGAGAAGCTATGCACCGATGCCAGCACCTAGTTCACCCATCAAAGTAATTATGGAAGTCTTTCTCTGGAATGGCTATCAGAGCTGTTATCATTATTTGTCGAGGACTGACAGGTAATTTTGGAAACTTTCCACAGAGCGCTTACATTGGCAGCACTGAACAAATAACTATTGGAACACCCTCCCTACTCACCTGATCTGGCCCCCAGTGATTCTTTTCTTAACTTAAAGATTAAGGAAATATTGAAAGGAAAACATCTGATGATACTCAGGACATCAAGGGTAATATGCCAACTGAAAGACAGTGGCGCGCAGTGAGACTCAACACCTTTTAAGGCCAAGAGATTTAATGGGGGTGAGCGCGGTGACTATAGAACCTGAGAATCAGATTGCAGCATGGAGGCAGGGGTATGGCAGGTTTTATAGAAATTTAAAGCGACTTGTTGATTACCTATTGGTCGGCAGGTGAGGTATTTTTGGGATTGGCAGGAGCTTTTGCGGGCGCGGGAACGGTGGGCTTTGTTGTGGAAGAAGAACCTGGAAGGCCTTGTCCGAGCCTCCATGTTAGTTTGTCCGGGCGCCTTCTTAGGCGGGAGCGCCATTTTAGGTGGGGGCCACGCCTAGACTTAGCCTTTGGAGGGGGTGGGTTCCTCGTGGCTGGCTGGGGCCTTTCACCAACAGCTCCGATTTCAATGACGTGTGTAGCACTTCTTCTAAGATGAGTTTGCGAACTTAATTCAGACCTTGTACTGTCCTGTGGCCAAAGTCACCAACAAACAAAGACATTCCTACCAGGCAGGATGTTCCAGGGGCCTAGAGATCACTTCTCAGTAGCTGAGGACAAAGGGAAGACCTCCCTTTGGGTAAAGCAAAGTCTTTTCTATGAGAAGATCCTCTGAATAAAGTTTCTCTGGGTCTAACTCCACTTCTCTCTGTTCATCTATGGGGTTCCACTCTACAAATTCTTTGGTAGTGGTGGTATTTACTCCCTCAGTGTGAGAAGGTATCTTAATCAAACATCTCCCACTCAAGAGCATCTTAAGTGAATTTTACTTATTTATCCCTCTATTGAATAAGTACTACAGAATATCCATATTTGCAAACAGGTTTCACATTGAAAAAAAATTCTTTACATTTGCGAAATTCATTTCCTTTGATCTATAGTCAAAGCTCGGCAATTTACACAGAATAGAGCTTATCAAGCTCTATTTGTTTTGCAGGCAAGCAAACCACCTTTCTTAAACACTTCACCTTTATTGTCACAGGGATCAGGCAGAGGCACTCCATGAAACTCTGAATGAACTTGCTACCATCTTGGCCAAGGAAAACAAAGACCAGCAGGATAGAGAGAGGTTTTTGAAAGAGTTTCCAGAAGTGAAAATGAAGATCAAGGAGAGCATATCTGAGCTCCATGCGCTTGCAGACAGGATTGACAAAGTCCACAGGGACTGCACCATCTCCAACGTGGTGGCTGGCTTCACTGGCGCTGTCTCTGGTGTTCTGACCATCCTCGGCCTGGCTCTGGGTCCTGTGACAGCAGGGACCAGTCTGGTGCTCTTGGCAACTGGGGTGGGCCTGGGAACTGTGGCTGCTGTGACCGGGGTTTCCTCCAGCATTGTGGATCATTCAATCAGGTTGTCTGCAAAAGCCAAAGCCAAAAGCTTGATGGCCACCAGCAATGACACAGCAAAGGTGGTTGAGAAGGCTCTGTGTCAGAACACCTCCAAAGTGATTTTCTTAGCCACCAATTGCTCTCGAGATCGGCAAGTCACTGAAAAGAACATCCATGCCTTCACCCTAACAAAAGCCAATCCCTGCTTAGCAGCCAGTGCCCAGCGCCTCAGAACCACTGGGTGCATCTCGGCCCAAAGCTAGGCAGGTGCGGAGAGCTTTTGGGGGGCACTGTTCTGGCAATAACCAAAGGAACCTGCATGGCCAGTGCGGCCACCGTGGGCATCTCCCTTCTGATGGATGTGGTCAGCCTTGTGCAAAGTCAGTGCACTTGCATGAGGGGGCAAAGACAAGGTCAGCGGAACAGCTGAGGCAGCAGGCGTGAGAACTGGAGAGAAAGCTGGAGCAGCTTACCCAGATCTATGCGAGTCTCCAGCTGGGCCTGGCTCAGTGACCCTCAAACAGCGTGGCCGTCGGTGAGGTGGGCTAGACCAAGACGAGAACACAACAGAGACATTCTATTACAGGGAAGTTGAGGTTGGGGAGAAACTCTTGGAACTGGGGGTTATTCGTGTCACAGAACACAGCAAGAGAGGAGTTCACGCATATAGCAAGTGGGTTCAGGAAACAGCAGACTCAAGAGTGATGGGGTGGAAAGACACATATTATTTTGTTTTTATTTTTAAACAGCAATGATGTTTAAAAATATGTTGCCCTGGTTGGTCTTGAAATCCTCACTATGTTGCCCTGGTTGGTCTTGAAATCCTGGGCTCAAGCAATCTTCCTCCTTGGCCTATCAAAGTATTGGAATTACAGGCCTGAGCCATCATGTCCAGCCTGCACAGTTTATTTGGGATTTGAGAATACATTGGGTGATAAGTAGAGAGGGATTGTACAGGAACAAGCAAGGAGAAGGCCAGGAAAATGGAAGAGCTGAAAATATGAGACATCTGGAGTCGAAACTGTAGCAATATGGGAAAAAGAATTACAGCCCCACTGCCTGCCCACTCTGTGCTTTGAAGTCCCCAGAATGCAGTCTTCCCTGGGGATGGTGTTCAGCCCTGTCTTTCCAGTGTCAACTCACCCTTGTCTTCCAGTGGGTATGTCAGTCAGGCAATGGCTTCTTTGTGGTAGTGGTGGTGGTAATGGCAGCAGAATGGGGCGAAGACTTGTCAAGTGCCAGTCCTGTTTGGGGCCAGGTACACGGAAAGACCAATGCAGCTCCATAAAAATAAATGTTGCATTGGAAAGTGGTTGAATTTGGAGGAGGAGTGAACCATGAATCCAGGCTGTGTGCAGTGGCTCACAATTGTTATTCCTGCACTTAGGGTGGCCAAGGCAGGAGGATTGCCTGGGCCCAGGAGTTCGAGAGACAGCATCTTGTGTGAAACAAGTAACAAGAGACAGTCTGAGTAACAAGAGACAGCATCTTGTGTGAAATAGAATGATTTATTTTCAAAACTCAAACCTGATTCCCTTTTACTCCACTTCTGGTTTCTTTCTTCTCTTTTTGTAGGTTTAATATTTAGATGTCTTGCACTCCCTTTACTGACCCCCTTCCAGCTTCTTAGTTCTCTTTTTGCAGGCCATTTTACTCTGGCAGGCTATGAATTCTGGTGGGATCCAATCTAGATAAAGGTCCTATGAGCCAATTGGCAAAGAGGACACGTAAGTGAGGAAACTTTGTAGTGATTTTGTAAACCAATCAGTGTGTACCATGTAGGCAACGTCCAGGATAGTGATGTAACCTCTGGAGTACTCAACAAATGGGGAAACAGGGGAGGAATTTGCATCTTAGGATATAAATATGATGATTGTAACTGCTTCAGTGTACCTGATCGTTTGGGAGACACCTATTCTTGCAAGAGCATTATATAAAAGAGCTGTATCACTCCCCTGATCTCCGAGCTTCCGTGTCATTTCTTAATGGCGAAATTGGGAAGAGTGCACACTTTTCTCCAACAATCTCTAGAAAAAATTTAAAAATTAGCTCGAGGTGGTGGGGTACACCTCTAGTCCCAACTACTTGAAGGCTGAGGCAGAGCTCAGGAGGTTGAAGGTGCAGTGAGCCCTGATTGTGCCACTGAACTCTAACCTGAGCAGTATTGTGAAACCTCAATTCAAAAAGAAATTTAAAGTGAGAGATTTTCCTTCCCTGGCTAGGTAGGCCTATGCCCCTTGTCAACTTTTAAGAAGTTACAGAAACTGCACTCCATATGATTATGATGTGGAAAATCTATAAGGGGGGAGTTAAGGCAGAGTACTTCAGTACTGGTTCGACATAGATAAATTTATTGTAGGAAGTTTTTAACTTAAACTAAGGAAACATCTAGACATCTTTTCTGCAGGCCAGCCTAGAATATGGACCAGTCATTCCACCCCACACCCTCAGTTAATCAAAACATAACCCCATTAAGATGTAAAAATGGTGCAGCTTAACCTTTCACTTCATGATTTAGCATAACAATTACTAAGAAATCTTCACTGTTAAAGGTAAAGTCTCAACCCCACCCCTTAGCTATCAAAGGTATGGAAATGTTACTTAGACCACCTTTTAGCTCATAGTTACAAAGTCTGGCAAGTGAGTCTATGTAACCAAAATGTGTGTTCTGGGAAAAGACCACAACCTCACCTATCAGAGATGGAGAGATGGTCATCTCTCTGCAGGGGATATGCGTACCTCATCCTCTTTAGCATAATAATTATTGTGAAATTTTATCAAACTTTTAGTCAAGAGCAAAAGTAAAGTTTTCCCTTTCAAAAGACCTCCCCATGCCAGCTTTCTGGCATGATTCTCTCTCTCTCCTCTGTTTTTCTTGATAATAAATTCTGTTTCAAAAACGTTTTTGGCCCCTCTGAAATACCTTTTAGTAGTGAGTCATAGAACCCACGAGCGTTACATTCACTCCACTTGACAACACAACTGAGACAGGGTAGTTAGTGTAGGTTAGACATAGATAGACACATTTCTGGTAGACAGTTTTTATTTTTAATTAGGAAACACCAAGTCATTTATCTGCAGACCAAACCACCTGTAAACTGGAATGTGAATTGGATATGGACTTTCAATCCACCCCATCCCATCAGTTCACTGAAGAAAATACCACGGAAAGCTGTAGAAATATAAACCAGACTACCTTTTAACTCTAAGTCCCCAGGTCTGGCAAGTCAGCCTACCAAAGTCAAAATTAATATTTTGGAAAAAGACCAACCCCCTCACCTATCAGAGAAGGAGAGATGATAATCTCTCAACCATAGACACTAATAACTTAGCCATTGGCATATCAATTATTGTGAAAATACACCAAGCATTTAGTCAACAGCAAAAGCATGATCTTTGTTTTCAATAGACTCACCTGTGCCAGCTGTCTTGCTGGTATGAATTTTTCTTTCCCTGTCTTACATTTGTTAATAAACTCTGCTTTAAAAACTTTGCTGGTTACTCTGAAATTCCCTTCAGAGCCTAGCCAAAGAGCCTACGAGTTTTGCACCACACCCTATCCAGCAACAAAAGTAGATTTCATGTGTGAGAAAGATCAACCAGCTTGGGTTCAAGAGACACAGCCTATCCAAGCCAGTTTCCTCATCGTTTGTAGAAGGGAGTGCTAGACAAATGCTATCAGATCCACCCAGCTTTGCCCATCTTGTGTTCTATAGACTTTAATTCAAAAAATATCAACTGATCCATGGGGCCTTTGCTGCGTTGCTTGATGGGCTCGCCTGGGCACTGAGTGTCTGACCCCTTCCTCATGAACCTTCTTCCAGGACCTCAGGGAGCAAATCCTCTTTTGCTCTCCTGCTCACTCCCTGGGCTTTCACCCAACCAGTCATTTCTCTCAGGCCCTGGAACCCTGCAAGCCCCACTGGGACACCCAGGAAAAGCTTAGGCACATCTGGCTTGGGCTAAGCACATCTAACCACCAAAGCCTAGGATGGATACAAGGCACATGAGGTTAACTAGAATCAGAAGGACCTGTGTGTGGCTATGAGGGAGGGTCAGCAAGAAATAGAGGGACAGACACAGACAGCAAACATCCCCATCCAGTTGGTCCTCAAGTTTCACCTAGATTCTGGCAAGAGCTTCCAGAAAGTGGCATTGCCCCTGCCCATCCTCCACATGGGGCCAGGTTGCCCTCAAGAGTTTGGTCCTTAAGATTTGATCAAGCACCTTCTCCAACTCTTCAGTGGGTTCGTGCCGCCTTAAAGTAATCTGTAGTGGTCTGGCGTTCCCTGATGGCAGAGTCAAAGGCAAGGCTCCTGAACAGCAAATTTATCTGGGAAGTGTTCCTGGGAGAAGGACTTAGGGATCAGGAAGAGTGATGCAGGGAAGGGGAGAATGCCAATACAAGGACAAGGTTTTGAGTTGTTCACCCATGTGGGTGGTTGAGCCTGCTGGGACATTCAAGGAGTGTCCTCAAAATACTTCTCTCCAGGGAAGAGAGTAGGAAGCACTGAATCACTGCCCTTCTCCCCCTTGGGCTTGCCCTAGTTGGTTTTAGTTCTCTGTATTTTCATACTGTGAGCCTGTGAGTACCTTGGCTGGAGCTCAGGGCTGGAGCAAGAGCAAGAGTCGTGAGATAGGCATAGTAACCCCCGAAATCCTCCTATGTTGCTCATAATGTGCATCCTGGACCTTAAAAGCCCTTTTGTAGATGCAGTCCTGCAGACTTTTCTCAGTCCTACTAATTTGCCATCAGTCAATGGTTCCCTGAGAGCTTCCAGTGATTTTTTTGTTTCTTCCTGAAGATGCCAGGCAAGCCACCACTTCCCCGACTGCCTGAACAATGTGTTTCACTCATTTGTCAACTCTTGGGTAATTCACAATCTTTTATAGATTTCACTCAGGCTTTGAGTGTTTCAGGCACTGATTAATTTTGAGTTGCTCAGTAATCTGTTAGCCTTTCCCCAAACTGAACCCTAATAGTTGAAATTCCATTGTGCTAGCTGTATTTAATGTGATTCCACTTTAATGTTTGTATCATTTGAGATTCTTTTATTGCAAGCAACAGAAATGGAGTTTGAAAGACCCAAATGAAAAATAAAACCCAGTGGAATGGATCTAGGACAGTTCAGAGGGTAGAGGGAAGAACAAAATCCACATACTCCAGGAAGGACAGGAACCAGGGCAGGTCCAACATGAGGAATGTATGGTTTGCCCTTTGAGGACTCTGCCACCAGATGGCTTTTGCTCAACACCTTGAGTCCTGGTGTTTCAGATTCGTGCTTCAAATTACCAGGAGACAGAATAGGTTTGGTTAGGTGACTTGATTCAGGGACTAAACAGTCAAGAGGGGGAATAGTGTAGTAGCCACATAAACCTTGGTGTCAATCTGCTACCTGAATGTGTGGTTACTATACACAGTCAACCCATTGCCTACTATACACAAACACACACACTCATGCTTCTTTGCACACAAACAAATCACTCTTTTTAGCTTGTTATGAATTTGAAAT